TAATGATAATAAATAATTGTTCATAATAATAAAATCGTTAATTTATTTTTCTTAATGATCACATTTTTGAAAATGTAATATGTTCAATATCTAGAATTTTAATATTAAATTGTCTTTATAATATTTTATGTACATCTGTGCATGTGCACATGATATTTACTAGTACTAAATTACTATTTCATTTTATGCAATCAATATAGTGATGAAGTTGAATACTTTTATAATCAATTATTAATGATAATTTTTTTTTTAAAATGTGATACTATATATTATCAAACTTATAAATTTAATATTATATACACACATGTAACTTATTATGATTTGAACATTTATTCATGTGCACATGGTCCGATACTAGTAATAGATGAAAGAGAGTGACTCAATAAATGTAGACCTAAATTATAATATAATAATATTTGGAATTTAAAAAAAAAATATTAAAAATTGGTAGAGTTGTAAATAATATTTTTGTTAGACACATATAATTTTATTAATTTAAATAAAATGGTTATCAAATTTGACAGTTTGAGGATTAATAATATATGTGTCATTTTAAACAATTATCACTTTATTATTTATTCATTATTTATTTTTTTATACTTTTATTTTTATGTTTTATCAGTAAGAATATAAATACTTATATATATATATATATATATATATATATTTTTATTATACAAATATTTTGTTCTAAAAAAAAACCCGTCACTCGTATAGTACACGGGCGTCTTATTAATATTCAAAATTAATAGGCAAAAATTCAATTTTGATCCGCTAATTTGTCCATTGTCCATTTTTAGTACACTAACTTGTCTCTCATAAAAAAAGGTCAGTTATGTTACACATTTCATCAGTTTTAGTATGCTAACCCCGTGGCCCGGGATTACGAGATGCCAAATCAGTTTTTTATCCTACCACGTCAACATCTTATCCCTCCACGTAGTTCCAATCTCGGTCCACATCATCTCGTAATCCCGCCAACTGGAGTTACTAAAACTGATGAAAAATGTAACATAATAGACCATTTTTGATGAGGGACAAATTAGCGGATCAAAAGTGGACAATAGACAAGTTAGCGGACCAAAATTAAATTTTTGCCAAATTAATATTTAAAACGTTCATTATCTTTGATACTAATAAACGAAAGAAGGAGAGTACGGCTAAAATATATTTGAGCTCTGTTAGAATATCACTTGTGAGTTGTCCCACATCGTTCATATATGAAAAATAGACCCACCTTATAAGTCTAATGGGCTACTCCTCCTTCCATCAATTGGTTTTGGGATGGAACCCCACTTAGGGCTTCATATGGGCTTTCCATTTCCCCCCAGTTTATTACATGGTATCAGAGCTCGGTTCTATTGGGACCGTGTGATGACGTACCCGTTTATGGGAGTCTGCTTCCCCACGTACCCGTTTATGGGAGTCTACTAGAAAGTCTGCTTCTAGTAGGCTTGGGGCGCCCAGTTGGGCTTGGGCTTCTGAAAGACTCACAAGTGAGGGGGCGTGTGAGAATATCACTTGTGAGTTGTCCCACATCGTTCATATATGAAAAATAGACCCACCTTATAAGTCTAATGGGCTACTCCTCCTTCCACCAATTAGTTTTGGGATGGAACCCCACTTAGGACTTCATATGGGCTTTCCATTTCCCCCCAGGTTATTACAAGCTCGATGTTAAAATACTTGCACCAAATTCAGTACTCAAAACTAATAGTAGTATTTAAAACATTCAATTTCTTTGACATTAATAAAGAAGGAAGGACAGCACGGCTAAAAAATAATTGAATTCAAAATTAAAATACTGAAACCAAATTCAGTTGGGAAGAAGGACAGTACTGCTGAAAAATAATTGAATTCGAAGTTAAAACACTTGCACCAATTTCAGTACAAAGGGTAATAATTGAATTAGTTCGAAGTTAAAACACTTGCACCAAATTCAGTACAATGGGTAATACTCTTTTTCACTAGTACAGTACCAGTGTAATAAACGTGTATTTGATAAAATATTAAACGTACAAACAAATAAACGAAAGAAAAAAAAGTGTATATATTTTGTTACGGTTGAAAAAAATAAATAAGAAACAATGTATAACAATTTATAATAAAGAACTAAGTGAACTAACAGTATTATTTAAAATTTTGAAAACTAATTTATATACAACATTAGTTATTATTTAAAACACATAAGAGAGAAATGCTCACCTACCCACGTAGGGGTGATCATGGTGCGGTTCGGTGCAAAACCGCACCGAATCGCAAAAAACCGAAAACCGAATTTTTTCATTTACCCAAACCGAACTGCACCGAAACATGTAGAAAAACCGAACCGAAACCGCACCGAAATTTTTGGTTCGGTGCGGTTCGGTTTCGGTTAACCGCAAATTTAAAAAAATAAAATAAAAATGAAGCTACATCATCATCATCTAATGTGCAACATTACCAAACCAAAAGTCCAGAATTTTTTAAAAAAAAAAACTAAGGCAAGAAATTAAATTTAATGTAACGTTATTAATTTTTTATTGTTATTGTTATTATTTATTACTTTACTTATTTATTGTTAATATTAGTCATCCTAAACCAAAGGGCTAAAATGAGCATGTATATTTACAATACAAACATGTCAACATA